GATTTTATGTTTGCCTTTGGTATCAATCTGGATATGAAAGAGCGTGTGATGACCTGGTCTAACGTCGAAATTCCGTTAAACTTGGGCTGCGATGAAAGTACACCCATTAGACGTCTGACTGCGGACCATCCAGAGATAATACCGCCCTGTGCCGAAGCAATAATATGGGTACCAATGAATGGAGATTGTGGAGCCGAGAAGTTGTGGGTGGTGGAACCAGCAGAAAACATAAACAGTAACATCCTAATAGCGAATGCCCTGGTGAAAAGCAACGAGGACGGATTGATTCCTGTTAGAGTTTTGAACCTGTCAAACAAGCAAGAGCAAATTTGCCAATTTTCCGATGTTGGACAATGCTGGTGTGCATTGTCCAACATCAGCTGTAATTAATTTGGAAACTAGCACCGAAAAGTCAGCAGCCATGGAGAAGAAGCACCTCGACGGTTACATAAAAGAGTGGACACACCAATTATCACCTTCCGAGAGGAACAAGGCTAAGCAGCTATTATGGAAACATGCCTCTACCTTTGCGTTGACAAAAGAGCACCAAGGAAGAACATCAGTGGAGAAGCATGAAATCCATACAGCAGACGCGAGACCCATTAAACAGCCTCCAAGAAGTGTTCCCCTGGCAAAAAGACGAGGTCCAGAAGCTGATAAGTAAAATGGAAAAGAGTGGTGTAATAGAACCATCGTCAAGTCCATGGTGCTCCCCAGTGGTCTTGGTCAAGAAGAAAGACGGAAGCACCCGATTTTGTGTGGACTACCGAAAGTTGAATGATGTCACCAAGAAAGACAGCTATCCGCTCCCAAGAATCGACGACATATTGGACACATTAGCCGGGACGTCATGTTTCTCCACCCTCGACCTGCAGAGTGGGTACTGGCAAGTAGAGATCAACGAGAAAGATAAGGAGAAAAAAGCGTTTGGCGTTAATGGGGGTCTCTGGCAGTTCAATGTCATGCCATTCGGACTCTGGAACGCACTGGCTACATTTGAAAGGCTGATGGAGCGTGTGTTAAAAGGGCTGTAGTGGAAGTCGTGCCTCATATACCTGGATGACATCATAGTCATGGGACGCAACTTCGACGAACACATCAAGAACTTAAAGGATGTTCTACAGCAGCTTTCGTCTTCAGGCCTCAAGTTAAACCCGAAGAAGTGCAATCTCTTCCGACGAGAGGTGAAGTTCCTGGAGCACCACGTGACGCCGGAGGGCATATCGACGGATAATGAGAAAATTCAAGCCGTCAGAGATTGGCCGCAGCCCCGAAATCTCCAAGAGCTGCAAAGCTTTCTGGGTCTCTGCACCTACTACCGTCGATTTGTCCCAAATTTTGCCAACATCGCCGCCTGTCTACACCGCTTGACGCAAAAAGGCCAGAGGTTTCAGTGGGGCAACGACCAAGAAGAGGCATTCAGAAAGCTCAAAGACCTGCTATGCAGAGCCCCCATTTTGGCATATCCTATACCTGGCGGCAAGTTTGCTCTGGACACAGACGCAAGTTCGTGCGGCATCGGTGGCGTCCTTTCCCAGGAAATCGACGGACAGGAAAAAGTCATCGGGTACTACAGCCGGACATTGTCGAAGCCTGAGAGGAATTACTGTGTGACGAGGAGAGAGCTGCTTGCTGTCCTTGAGAGCGTTAAACACTACCACAAATACCTATATGGCCTGCATTTTCTGCTGAGGACCGACCACACTGCTCTCCAATGGTTGCTGCAGTTTAAGAATCCGGAGGGTCAACTAGCCTGTTGGATTGAGAGGCTCCAGAGTTATGACTTCAGAATCGAGCACAGAAAAGGCGGAAACACGGTAATGCTGATGCCCTGTCTCGTCGGCCATGCAAGGTAGAATGCAGGCATTGCTCAAAGGCTGAGTGTAAAGAAAATATCGTTGATGTCCGACTATTGCAGTTTGAGTCGGGTGAAGATTGGTCGACGGAACAACGAGGGGATCCCATTCTGAGCAAAATAATTTCGGCCATAGAAACGGGCAAGCATAGAAACGGGCATAGCAAAGACCGCTGAAAAGGTAAAGCAGAGATTCTACTGGGTCGGCTGTCAAAAATCCATTGCCGACTGCATCGCCAATTGTGAAAGGTGCATAAGAGCTAAAGGTCCAACACGGAAGAGTCGAGGCTACATGCAGCAGTATAATTCAGGAGCCCCTTTTGCAAGAATCGCAGTGGATGTAGCTGGACCGTTCCCAATAAGCGACTCTGGGAACCGGTATGTCTTAGTGGTCATGGATTACTTCAGCAAATTGCCAGAGGTTTATCCTATCCCAAATCAAGAAGCCAGGACAATTGTGGATGTGTCCAGCAAAAATTGGATTTGTCGCTATGGTGTTCCATCTGAAGTTCACTCCGATCAAGGTAGGAATTTTGAATCGGCGATCTTCAAGGAAATGTGTGACTCCTACGGAATCAAGAAAACCAGAACGACGCCCCTACATTCACAATCAGATGGCATGGTGGAAAGATTCAATCGCACCCTGGAAGAACATCTACGGAAAGTGGTGGACAGTGGCCAACGAGACTGGGATGAGCATATTCCAAAGTTTTTACTGGCTTATAGATCGGCCATTCATGAATCCACATCCCGGACCCCCGCCAAAGTTCTGTTCGGAAATGAATTAAAGCTACCTGGCGATTTGATATTCGGTGCTACCCCAAACGACGATGTGAACCAAGATGAAGACAGTCAAAACTCTTTTAGTAAAGTCCACGATGCAGTTCGACATCGAATAAGAATGGTTAGCAACCGCATGAAGAGCGGCAAATTCCGATGGGTTTCAAGAAGGGCAACTGGTACTATTGATCAATCCACAACGAAAAAAAGGACTATGTCCCAAATTGCAAACGCACTGGGAAGGACCCTACAAGATTGTCACGAGGAGCGACAGTCCCAGGTCGAAGATGAAAGTTGTACATTTGGAGCGGCTGACCCCCTACAGAACGGGAACTGTGCCTATTCGGGACGAACAGGCTTAAGGGAACCCCCCCCCCCCATTCTCGGGGTCAAAATTTTTGTTGATATAATTCGAATCTACACTGATTAAAGAATGTCTCTACAAAATTTCAAGTGAAAACCTTAAGAACTCTTGAAAATATAGCCGATTTATTGTGTCAGCATCAAGTGACGGCTGAAGGGCTTCTCAATCTTTAAAAGCGTTTTTCTCTAAACATTTTTTTGCGAATGGCGTGCACGATAACTCAAAAACTAATAATCCAATCGGTTCCAAATTTTGCAACGTTTCTCTGGGAGTGTATAGCTCTTGTATGAACTAGGATAAAGCCAATCGGTGAAGATCTTCCTTATTTTTTAACTTGGTTTTTGGTAAAAAATTGTCGATTTTCCAAAAATATTTTTTCAAAGGTCCACCATTTTGTTAATTTTAGAGCGAAGTCAATAATCGTAGTTCATACGAGAGCCAGACATGTACTCTCTCTAACACCGTTGGAATTTTCGGATTCCGATGTTCCAGTGAGGAGTTATCATGCCCGCCATCAAAAATAAGGACTTTTCTTTAATTAGAAAAAACAACAACAAAACAATAACAAATTTTTTTTGTAAATTATTTTTCTTCTCTTTTAAATCTTCAATTATATATGTGCAAAGTTACAAACCTTAACAAACATTTGTATTCATTTACCAGCCCATTGAAAATCTTGAAAACTTAAAATCGAGAATGGGGGGGGGGGGGTTCCCTTAAGCGGGGGGCAATGTTACGAATATAACTTTAGATTTAACTTAATTTAGATGAATTCCGTTAATTTAAGAATTTGAATTGTAACGTAAATTTCTACTACGCAGTTTATTCGAATAACTTCACAACAACTACTACTGTATAGATTTTTCTACATCCTTCCATTTCCTCTTTCATTGTCTATTTTGTTGTTGAAGTACAATTCTTGTTAAACGTCATCATTGATGATCGCTTAATTCCTCTTTCTTTGTTACTCCCTCGCCTGCGTTGTTGTTATTGTTCACTCAATGTAAGTTTGTATGTGTTTGTTGCATTGGTAGATTGTACGTAATCTAGGTGTTACCAGATCGTCTAGAAACTTCTTTAGCGACAAGCAAGGCCCATATAAATAGGGGAAATGGCAAGGCAGTCAGTCAGTTGTGAATCAGATCGCGAATTGAAACCGTCAAGTAAAGTAAAGTTGTGTCAATAAAATCATTGAAAAGAACCCGCGTTTTATTTAGTACGAACTGTATTGGGAAATAAAACAACGTCTACACGGGATTAAGTAAAATCAAAGAACGTAACAATACTTACAAATATTTTGAAGTCCCCTGCCTCTAAAACTTATTAATATAAGTTGCTACAACCATGGTTAAATCTTGAAGGCAATGTTCAGATTTAGAAAATATATTTTGTGTATTGAAAATATGCCAATCAACATACATAAAATTTTATGGAATTTATTTGAAATTGATATATGAATTCCATATTAAAAATAGTTGCCATTATCAATTCCTCAAATAAGACCTTCCATAATTAGATTATAATATTTCAATTTTATTTCATAAACGAGAACCTAGCCCAAAGGGCCATGAGCGATTCCAAAAACTTCATTACATGGACTACTCCAAAAGCTTATATCGATGATTTATTATCATTTGAAGTAAAATTTGAGGTACCGTTTCGTATTTGTTGTTGTTGTAGCACCCCTATTGCTTTTACACAATTCGTACTTGTTCCTACCTGGTGCAATGTTTTTCAACTCTACTGTCAATTTACCAATGAGAGAGAGAAAAAACGCTTATGATTCGTGATCAAGATTCGTAGTGTAAAGTACGCCTAAATGTATTACGGCGTCTAAATATCTTTGCGCCGTCAACTACTCAAATTTCTATCAACGTTTTAGTACGAAAAATAGTCCACAGAACAATTCTTTTCGTCCCTAATTTTTATAAGAATATTTTGAGATGAAATCCACATGGACAGAGGTGGTAACATCAGTACCACTGTGGATATCATCGCGAAATGACTGAGCTGGGTTTCAAGAAACAACCTAAAGGTTTTGCTTCAAAGGCAATTCACGTAGGTCAAGATCCTGAGCAATGGAATAGTTTGTGTGTTATTCCTCCAATCTGTTTGAGCACTACGTACAAACAAGATGGTCCCGGACAACATAGGGTGAGTATAATGAATGTTTCTTCACATATATAACTAGTTGATCATTTCATAAGTTAGACATATAAAATTGTGGTGCGGCCCCATCTTCCAATTGTTTTGTTTTGGCAAATAGAACGAACTAAAGTATGTATTTTAGTTTCTGTAGTGAGATAGCAAATTGTTCTTTATCTGAATGTATATGTGATATATAAAGTTGTTGGAACATTGCGGAAAACAGACCAATTAATGTGAAATGAATTGCGTGCGTGGATGGTACACAATGAAACCAACATTGTACCTTTTGCATATGGCTGTGGCATACGAAACTCTAATAAAAATGATTCAAATTTTGGTTTCCAGACAAGACGAAATTGATTTACATTGAGGAATATTTTGCATATGGTTAATGGCATGGCGTAGGGGTTACCGTGATCAATTTAATCGCAAGTGGTTAAAATTTCAGAAAATGTAATTTTTAAAATTTTACCATTGTTTTTTACATACTATTGCAAATATTTATATTTTCAAAGAGTTTGGCAAACATGGGGGTATTTTTTTCTTGTTTGTAAACAAACCGGACATTTTCGGAAAATAAAATAGACTCGAATGAAAATTTGCATTTATAAATAAAAATATATGTGTCGCTGTGGCCAGATGGAATAAGGGACCCCCACCAACCCTTCTCGGTTTCCAAAAATCTTTTTTTTAATTGGAACCTTCTCTGTCTATTTTTTAATTTTAAGAAATTCCAAAAACTCTTAAAGATTTATTTTAAAAGCAGCAGGTGGCAGCTAAAGGGGTTTTCAACACATTAATGTTTTTTTTTTTTCGAAATAGTCACCCCAATACCGTCTGTTGTTTTTCTTTGACGACATCACTTCGACATTGATTTGGTATTCTGTAACACTCATGGGACGATGTCGACTATTTATTGATAATACAGTCGACTCCGCTTTACTGAAACGGAAAAAAATCGGAATGTTTGTTTCAGTTATCCGATGTTTTCAATTAAGCGGAGTTCAGTTAACTGAATATAATTTCAGTTATCCTAATTTTTCATAAGCGAAAAATTTTTCAGTTTTAAGAATTTCAAAAATCCATATTTTTCGAATTTTACGAAAATACACGATAGAAATTAAAACTGGTTGACATGTTCATTTCTTTTGGGATTCGTATCATGAACTGTCTATTTATGCTTTTTTAGAACGTGCGGCTTGCAACGAAGTCCATCGTCTGCCTGTTGCAATCGTAAGAACTATTTTAAATATTATTTGGTCTATAATATAATATTTATTATAGATCTTAGATGGAATGATTTAAAACCGCATAATATCGAACCATGTCTTTGAAATGGTTTTATCTAACGATACTAGCCAATTTTTTATTTTTATCAGCTGACTTGGCAGTAAAATGCAATATCGGGTTGTGAATGTTCATAATAGATTCACATTTTTGCAATGTTCCTATATAAAATTTGTTTATCATATTGAAGGCTTTAAATAATCACTTTGAATAGCTAAAAGAGGACGACCTCATCAAAAGTTTGTTAATTTTATGGTACCTCGTATCAATGCAAAATATCCAGTCATTATATTTCTTCCTCATGACTCAGTAATGCGGAGTGATTTGAAAGGAAATTGTAATATTTGACTCCAAAAGCTATTTCAGTTATCCGATATTTTCAGTTATGCGGAGTAAATTATGGGTGATTAAACAAAAAAATAAATGGTGCAGGAAATCTATTTCACTTAAGCGACTTACAGTAAAGCGGTGTTGACTGTATCAATAAAACAAAAATCATATCTATAAAATTGTAGTCAGTTGTTCATTTTGTTTGATATTTTTGTGTAAAAATTTGTTGGTATCCTTCACCGCACTGTGATACAGGGCATTATGTCTTGGATAGGAAGATCCGGAAGGAAACGAGATAGACCCATAATTACTTTTTAGTATATACATAGAATTACTTTTTGAGTCGACTCTCTATGAAATCGTTTTGTGTCGATGATGACATACGGAATAGAGGTGAGTGTTTTTACGATTGCGAAAAACTATTAATCCAATCTGTTCATATTTATTCTGGACCTACGCATTTGCCATCCGCTTGAAAATGTTCAAAATTTGAAATTTTCAAAATTTGAAATCGTGCTCTTGCTGATAATTTATTTGTTTTTTTTTAATAATTTGCGCAAACAAAAGCATGTGTATGTACGGGACACATAGCATTGAGTTATCTCTATTAACACAACCGATAGGAATACATGTGTTCTGATAATATTTAAATATTTTAAATTTATAATATTAAGAAACGAGTGTCATATTTGACCTTATCAACACTAATTGGCTAGTTATGAAAACAATTTTATATCAAAACCATGATGAATCTATTGTGATTTAGCAAATGCTTAAAGAAAAAATTATTTAGAATACTTTATAAACATCAATCAATTTATGTGCATGGTACCCATTGTTGTTCACTTATCTCGACAATAAAGCATCAATTTAAATAAAAAAAATTAAATGTTTGCAACAATTTTGATTGGGTTTTAAGAAATATTGTTATAACGACGTATTGTTAATAATAACGTTTCTTTATAAAAAGCTAAAAATATCAATGTGATTTCAGTATTTTGATAAAAAAAACTCCTAAGAAAAATTTTCAAAATTCCTGTTTTTATTTCACATATTGCACCTGTTCATTAAAAGTAAGTAAAGTGTAACTTTTGAGTAGAGAAAAAAGCTAGTTTAAAATAAACAATATTAACACGCATAGGAAAACATAAAAGGCATTTCTTCCTTTCTAGAATATTGGAAAACTAGTTTAAAATAAACAATATTAACACGCATAGGAAAACATAAAATGCATTTCTTCCTTTCTAGAATATTGGAAGTCCGATTGGTATACAATTTTGCATATATTTTGGTCCTAGGATTAACTCTATAGAAAATGGTGGATATCAAATCACCAACGCTATACACGTTTTGATCAAATCCTAAAACAAATACCAGCATGCATACATCAAAGGCAAATCAGTGGACACTGCTTTACAAGAGGTGGCCGGGCATAACGAGAAGAATATGGAGACATCCGGTAACACATTGTCGAGGAACGCCATTGAAGGAGCCTCCAACAATGTGAAGCTGGAAGCTATCCATTCTGCTCTCGATAGTTCAGATATCCCCTAAGGGATTGGATTGATAGAATGCTGAAAAGCAAAATTATCAATTCCTAAATTGGCAAAATATCTTGGTACAGTCCTTGACCACAAGCTAACGTGGAAAAGGAATGTTGAGGAAAGATCTAAAGCAATCTATTCCAGCAAGAACTCTTTAGATAAGAGTTGGGAACTAAAACCAGAGATCACACACTGGCTGTATGTAACGGTTGTGCACCCGATTCTTATGGTTGCTTTGTATGGTGGCAAGGGGTCAACAGGCATACACTACTGGCTAAAATGTGTAATGTACAGCAATCGGAGTCATGTCTACCGGAGCGCTAAGAAGCGCGCCCCAGGCAGCCTTGAATGCAATTCTGAATCTCCAACCACTGGATTTTCAGGTTAAATTCCTGGCTGCAAAATGTGTCCTGAGGCTCCGGGAAACGGATGCTTGGAAGTCGCTGAATTTTTACCACGTTAGTATCCTTATCACGACACCAGTTTGAGACTTTTCAGAGAGGAGTACTCCCATAACGATTTCAACGACATCCGAGTAGAGTTTCCTCCAATCCAATCTACCGATTGAGGATTCTCTACAACCTTCTATTGGCTACTTTATTGGCAAAAACCGTATGAGCTACTGTGGGGTCGGCTATAGATGGTCAACAGAACCTGGATGCTGGTTTTCAAAAGCCATCTGGCCAGAATTCTCCCGCCGTAGAACTTCTTCGCTGTTGTTTCATAGTAAGAGGGAGATTAAAAATTGTTGTGAGGATCATAACAGGTCACTACAGGATTAGATCTCCCATTTCCAACGTATATAGCGTTGGTTATTTCGAGAATGAGGAAGAGCTGGAAACAATTGAACATATACTCTGTAGTTGTCCATCATTTGAAGTAAAGTTGAAGGCACTTTTTTATACTTTTTGTTCCTACCTGCGGCAATATTTTCCAATCCTATATCTCAATTTACCCATGAATTATTTTATTATTTATTTGTGTAACTTAATAATAAATACATTAATATTTAACAGGGGTTTGAATACTCCCGAAGTGGAAATCCTACTCGAAATGTACTGGAAAAGTGCTTAGCATCGCTGGATAATGGAAAGTACGGATTGACTTTTTCGTCCGGATTAGGCGCAACAACAGCGGTTTTGACTATGCTTTCCAACGGTGATCACATTGTCATCGGTGATGATATTTATGGTGGTACAAATCGTTTAATCAGGTATGCCATTCAATAATAATTATTTTTGTGTTTAGCCAATTTATAATTATTTTCCATCTTTTAGACAAGTAGCATCGAAATTTGGAATTGAAGCTACATTTGCTGATCCAACAAATATTGAGGATTTCAAAGCAGCTATAAAGCCAAACACAAAAGTAACTACATTTTGCCAATATTACATAATGATATAATTTAATTTTGTCATAAAATTATGAACGCTTGCAGTTAGCGTGGGTTGAAACACCAACGAATCCTACAATGAAAGTTGTTGATATTGAAGCCCTAGCCGAAGTTGTACACAAAGCTGGCGATATCATATTTGCTGTGGACAATACTTTCTTGACATCGTATTTCCAAAGACCCCTGGAGTTGGGCGCTGATTTAGTTTGTTATTCTTTAACTAAATATATGAATGGTCATACTGATGTCGTAATGGGAGCTGTTACAATGAACTCGGAAGTACTGTACAATCGTCTAAAGTTTCTACAAAACGGTAAATTATTTTTAAATTTATGCGTTATTGACCGCATATAGGTATAAAAGCAAAAGTTTCGCCTTTAAACGATATTAGTGTTTCATAGATAGATATACAGTCAAGTACGGTTATAGCGAACTAGTAGGGACCAATCAAATTTGTTCGTTATAGAAGAAATTCGTTACATCCGAAGTAAGGCAATACACAGGCTTAGCAGAAAAAAATATTCAATACTTAAGCTTGTTCTCTTTTTCTTTGACATTACAGCTACCATTTTTGCAGTGGTAGCGTAAAATTGACTTTTATAAGGATTGTCATCATTAAGCATTAAGTATATTTATAGCAAGTTCGTTATAAATAAATTAATATAAATGAAAACTGTAAGTTGGGATCGAAAAACTAGTTCGTAATAAAAAAAAGTTCGCTACAAGAAAAAAAATGTATGGGACCTGAAAAAGTGTTCACTATAAATGAAGTTCGTTATAAGCATACTCGACTTATTAATTCTCTGATTAATGTAGGAAATGAAAGAGTTAAGAGGAATATGAATGTGATTAATTTATTTTCAGCTGTCGGCATTGTTCCATCTCCGTTTGATTGTTACCAAGTAAATCGCTCATTGAAGACCCTTGCTTTGCGCATGGAACAACATTTCAAAAACTCAGTGGCAGTTGCGAAGTTTTTAGAAAGTCATCCATACGTTGAAAAGGTTCTGCACCCAGCCCTTCCTTCTCATCCAAACCATAAAATTGCACTAAAACAAACATATGGTTATAGTGGAGTATTTTCATTCTACCTAAAAGGAGATTTGAAAAATTCGACCGAGTTTTTGAAAAGTCTTCATATGTTTGCACTCGCAGAAAGTCTTGGAGGATACGAAAGTTTGGCTGAATTACCGTAAGTGCAATGTAATGATATAAATACCTAATTAAAAATGCTCTTCACATTTCTTTAAAAGCCGATTTGAACAAATTCAAGTTATTAATCACCAACACCTTTTTTATGCAAAAATAATGCAACTTCATACATTTGTTCGGCTATAGAAGAAACTGGGGAGACACATAATGGTCCTTAAATTTTTGAACAGGATTTAAGATTGCAAATCTGATTTTTTTCGGTTTTAATCAACCGATTAAACTTGTATGCATATTGTATGACAACTAGAAGGTTGCTAAAAACACTATTAGTTATTAGTTAATATGTAGCATTCTCTTTATTTCCAGATCTGTAATGACTCATGCTTCTGTACCAGCTGAAGACAGAAAAAAGTTGGGAATAACGGATTCTCTGATTCGATTATCTGTGGGTCTCGAAGACGTAGAAGACTTAATCGAAGATCTAAGTAACGCTTTAAAAGCAGCTCAAATTGTTTAAATTACAATAAAAATGGAATATATGTAATATATCCCCCCGAAATTCAATAACAAGAACAGTTTTCTTTCTTACACTATACTGCAATCAAAATTTAAGTCCCAATTTTGATAAAGCATGTTAAGTTCAACGATTTTTTCGTTTTATTTTTGCCAATATCTGTGTCTGTTTATTCGATATTTGGTAGCAATTGCTACCAAATGTTACTTGGATGGTGTCTGTTTACTCTAAAGTCCAGTAAAAGAGAGCGAAAAGAGAAATCTAGTTTGACAATTCTACGCAGAGAACTGAATTAAATTTCTTCTAGTAAGATTTATCCAGCAAACTCGATGAATTTCAATCAGCTTTTAATTTTAAATTTTTATCAAAGTTAAAAAAAATTATATTTTACGAATTTCATTCCTTTAAAACTACATTTCAAGCATCCTAAAGGAAATTGCGTGATATTTTGCAAAATCTTGCGTACGATCATACACCATCCGATCGGAATTGTTAAATGAAAGTTATCGATTTTTTTAGAGTAACCTTTAATCACAAACGCACAGGCATTTTGGTCAGAAAAATTAAAACATAATTTTGAATGAAAATCTTTAAAATGTCTAAATTATTAGTTAAAGCATTTCTTTAAATGTTCCGATTTACACAACTATAGCAGAAAACAGCAGAATAGCAGAAATAGTGTTAAAAATTAATACAATTTATTTTGTTTTTCTTTTTTCACGTGAAAAACTGAAAAGGAGTCAACATCTGAGAAGAGTGCATGTGTAAAGCGTAAAAAACGCACAGTACAAAATAAAAAAAGAAGCACGACAAAAACAAATATGGCTCAGTTTTGCCAGTGTCAAACAATGCTTTACCACATTTTTTGCTTTTTAGTATGGTTTACATTGTGTTGGCGTGATACCGGTTAAGGGGAGAAAAACCCAAAAAGAGAAAAAAAACAAAAAACAATTTGATATTAGAATAGATTTTCAACTTTATTTGGCAAGTGGTTTTGTTTCGAAAAGCAACAAACTTTACCTTTAGGTGTGCGTGCGAGAAAGCAAGTTTAATCAACGAGAGCGAGTTTGCAAGTGATGTTGCGATGGGCATGAAAGCAACAGCAAGGCCGTGATCAACAACTACGACCACAGCATTGGAAAGCGCCTCTCTGCATCCGAACTAAGCGAATGTGGCTTCCAGGAGATATAGTAGAAGAGAGCGAAACTCTCCCCTACAATCCGAACTAGGCGAATGAGGCTCCTGGAAGATATGCAGAGAAGATTTCCCCATTGGGCTCCGAAGAGCGGCCAATTAAAGTGGTTAATTGTAATGCTGTAGAAGGGGAAACAATGTATCGAACATATACATTGCCGTAAGCAATGTATCGAACTTAAACATTGCCGCCCACCTTGCCGCGCTAGCTGCGTGGCAACCGATATTAGATTAGTACGCGACTTAAACTATGGTTAGTAATTGCATTGTGAATTAAATGCATCGATAGGTATAGTAGTTCAGTTTTATTGAGCAGGAACGGATATAATTCAATTTGAGATTATTTATTTTTCGACTATTTTGACAAAAAGAATACACGATGAAGTTATTCTTTACTATTTACAACTAATTTAGTCTCTGGTCGACGAACAATTTCTTGTTGGACCTAAGTGATTGCTCACGACAGAGCACAACGAGTTATTGAAATTGCATATTGAAATTGCAGTAAATACTACAAATTTTAACTAGAGAAGTCTATTGATAAGACTTAGAGGGAAATCGACTATTATTGGTTACTGTGGCGAACGAGGAAGAGCGACTAGATAGATGGCCCGATGTAAGTTGAACATTATCGAAAGGGATCTAGAAGTTAAGCAGGCCTCAGTACGAATTAAACAAATTCTGTCCTATGGCAAATACGACAATCAAAAACGATAAAGAGCAGCCAAAATGAAGCAGAGCACAAGGGAGAAATGACTTCTAAGAAACTGCTTTGACTGAAAAGCAGACGAAGACATACACAAACCTTTGACGATACGACACGCTAAATTCGTATACAACTTCATATCGAAGGATTCAAGTAAATATTTTTTTTTTTCGAAAAAGAGCAACCAAGAAATCTCAAGAAGATTAAACGATTGATAACAAAACCCATAATTTTAGAAACCAAATATCGATAAGAAGGCTACGAGGCTGATTTCCACCATGAATGGAAATCGCGTGAACGAATTCTGCAAGAATACAAACAAGTTGGCATGAAAACGGCAAGATAGTTGATTGACGTACAATGTATGGCAGCGTTAGATACTGAAAGCTTTGGGGAGGAGTGCACTGTTTGAAAGCAAAGAAAGGCTGATCTAGCAACGAAAGTATAGGTAAGCGAGAATTACGAAAGTTATGGAACACCTGACTATTTACTACTCGAGGAGTGTTGCCAGTAGAAGTTGATGCCACATTGCCATCTACTTGTGGAGGATTGACAACATTTGTCGCGATAGGATACGAAGGCCTAGACGATAGAGGAGAATCATTACTAGAGGTGTGAGGAGAACCAATCCTAGATGATTGAGGAGAAGCAGTAGGCCTGTGCAACAATGTATGATGGCGAATTTTACAAATATTACAGTTATTACTACTGGCACAATTCTTGACGGAATGTCCTACAGACAGGCAATTTAAACAACAACCTTGTTTTTTAGCCACTTCAAATCTTTTTTCAAACGAAAGAGTTCTAAATTTTGGACATGAGCGTAATGAATGAAATTCATTTCTACAAAGAATGCATGATTTCGACTTATTTTTAACCACAGAGGTAACCATATGGGCTTTGACTTTATTTTTCGAAATCGGACTAGAAGGGGAACTTCGCATGTCTCGCAAGCAAGCTAATGTTTGAATTCTTTCAGTAAGGAATTTGTTCAAGTCTTCCCACGACGATAGCGAAGATTTATCTTTAATACTCTGTTCCCACAAAGCTACAGTTAGTTTAGGTAAACGCTGTTGACAAATATATACTAAAATAGGATCCCAGTGATCCGTAGCTACATCATACACTGACATAGCAGAAATACAGCCGTTGATACCACGCTGCAGAATTTTTAAATTAGAACTAGATTCAGAATCTAACACGGGAAAGTCAAAAAGGAGCTTGAGATGGTTATGCACTAGAATACGATTATTGTCGTACGTATCCTTCAACGACTGCCAAGCCATAGCGAAACTTTTATGGGTGAGTGGAAACTTAGACACAATTTCCCTAGCTTCACCTTTTGTTTTTTGAACTAAGTGACAAAGCCTTTCGATGTCACTTAATCGAGAGTTGTTAATAAATATAGCAGAGAAAAGATCCCGGAATGTGGGCCACGATAAGAAGTCTCCATGAAATTCCTCAATCTCACACGGTGGTAAGTTGAGGTAATGCATGGTATTTGAAACTATTGGAGGCAAACTCCAATTAGAAATGGAAACTTCTGCAGGATTTGGAAATTCTGTTTGAACAATATTTGATGAATTTTGGATATTCATATTCAAACTATTACTAGAACTATTAATTTGAGCAGGAGGTTGATTAGATTCAATACCGATTTGTGGAAGATTCGGAGCTAAAGTAGTTTGCGGTGTGCTAGCATTAACGACGACAGAAGTTGCAGTAGGAGCTTTCACCGACTTAAAATTATGTATCTTTTCATTGATCTCCGACAAACAATCAGTGAAACTTTTATTAGATGATTGATATTTTGAATCGACAGAAGAGATCTGCTCTGAAGTCGTACCCTCTATTGTCAACAAATAGTCAATACACTTGTCGTAAGTGTCCTTGACTTTAGACCATAACTCTTGAAGTTCCGAACTTTGAATTTCAAGGCTGAAAATTGTATGAGTCTCTGGCTTAAGTATATGGTATGAGGCAATAAATTTGACCACATTATCTGAAGCGCGAATAAATTGTGTCAATGGAGTGATCGACATGATTCTATAGAAAAACAAACGATAGCGAAGCAAAAAAGTCCAAAAAATCTATATTTTTACTGTTTGAGGTCGACTAGAACCGAATGTAGGGTACACACAGTCGAATTTGCAATAGTATCGGTGAAAAAAGAGGAAATATAGTCGATAGGAACAACTAAAAACAACAAATTTTGTGAAATTTCCAAAAAAAGGAACAAAAATTAGGAAAATAATTTGAAAATCGCAATTACCGACAGTAGGGTACACGAAATTTCAAATTATGCTATAATTTTACAGACAAATAATTTTTGTTGTAAAAGTAAATATCTATTTTTTCGCAAAAAATTTCAATAAAAATTGCCCAAAAAGAGTTTTTAATTAACAACAAATTAATGCTTTGAATGCGCTTGTGAAATGCCGAAAGTAGGGTATTTTTTGGTAAAAGTCCAAAAATCTACAATAGACCAACAAATATAACAACAATTTTTTATTAACTGTTTTTTAAAAAATTATTTATAAAAATCCACTATTTTTCATACGGACCCACTGTGCAGTGGTGAACAACGAATACCGCACAAAAGGGAATAAAACACAAGCAGTGTTGAGTGAGCGGCTAACGCACTACAAACAGACCAACGACAACGAACCAACAGAGATGTGTGGGGAGAGTAAGAACTTGTTGGTACGTTTGTTTGTTAGTCGGCTCACACTAAACAAGGCGGCTGGAATGCGAGAGTGATATTTGTTGTTGATATCACCCGATCAACAACACAACGAGAATGAACCAACAGTGAGTGTTGGGAATCGAAAGATTGAAACAGTAATAGTGGAGAAGAGAATTTATTTGTTGGTAGATCGAATGTTAATAAACAGACGCTAGAAAAAGGCGCGTGGAATATTCGATTATTGTTGTTGTGTTTACTCGACCAAACAACGAGAGATGATTCGATATAGAAATGGTTGGTAGGTTTAAGAATAACAAAGAAATTAGAAAAAGGGCACGATGAGTATTCGTATTGTTGTTAGTGCTTTTTCTTACTAGTGGCTAGCGGAGTTAACGAGAATGCGGGGGTTTATATGTA